GGATGAAAGGAACGACAGCAAAGTGGACGCCAAGCCAAACAGCGTCTTCCTTAGAAGGCAAAGGCCAGGCAAGGTGCGCCCCCGCGCATCCCATGGGAATGATGGGGCCGAGCGATCGGGCACTGACACCAAGGCCTGGTTGCCTTGCCGGCAGAAGATACGGCCAGGCGGATGGGCACGGACATGACGCCCACCCGGTCGCCTAGAAGGCACTGTGGGGAAGGAAAGCCTCACGCGGTGGCCCCCCGCAGCGCTGCCCTTGATGGAGCGGGAGGGTTTCTGGCACGTAGGGTCCATCCAGAGGAAGAGAGGTCCAGGCGCAGGGAATCCGCGGAGGACAGGAGAAGATGGGGCTGCCTAGTGCCTGTCTCCAGGCTGGCACCCCGGCAGGAGAAATCGCTGCCAGCCGCCACGGGGATGCCACCTTGCCGGGCGAGCTAGCCAGAAAGGCCGCTGTGGAGGGAAAGAAGTTCCCCACCCTGGTCTCTGCTTCTCCGCCGCCGGCTCAGTCGGGGCAGGCGGGCGTGGCCTCGGTGCGGGAGGCCGCAGGTGGCAGGGTCGCCGTCCTGGCCGTCCGCTCGCCCCTCCCTCGCAGCCAGACTTCCTGGCGAGGTGGCTGTGCTGGGGTTGGGTGTCCTCGGCGTCTTCGGATGGGGACGGTGGCTCACCTCCTGGCGGCAAGGCCGTTCTACTCCTCCCGGTCGCAGGTGGCGCCCCCGCAGGGCGGAACGAGGCCAAGCCACCCCGGGCAGGGACCCCACAGCCAGCGAACGCCACCCCGCGCCGCTGCCCGGCCGGACGCGCGCCGAGGGCCACGCCGCCAGGAAAGGGGACTGCAAGGAGCGCCGAGGGCCAGGAGACAGCGAGTCGCTCCCACCACCCGCACACATACAAAGCCGCGCGCGCGCACACACACACAGCCGCGCACACACACGCACATACAAAGCCGCGCGCGCGCACACACACAGACACAGCCGCGCCCACACACGCGCCCACACACGCACATACAAAGCCGCGCCCACACACGCGCACACACACATACACAAAGCCGCGCCCACACACACGCACACACACGCACATACAAAGCCGCGCCCACACACGCGCACACACACATACACAAAGCCGCGCCCACACCACGCACACACACGCACAGACAAAGCCGCGCCCACACACGCACCCACACACACGGCACAGGCACCCAGGCAGGTCCTCACACCGCGGGGCTCGGCCGCGGGCGAGGAAGGACCCCGGCACAGAGGGGCACACGGGCACCCGGGCAGTCCCGCCCTCCGGGCCACAGGCGCGACGACTTTGGACTTCCGGGCACACGAAAACAGCCAGCAGGCGGGCGTGAGGCGGCCATCCAGGATCCCTCCTGTATCCCGAGGTGCTTCCCGGCCGCTGAGACAGAGGCTTCTTCAGCCTCTCGGCCCGCTCCTCCCGCGCTCCTAGGAACCGCGGACGGTGCCCTGGCCGGGGTCCTGGAGAGGGCAGAGTCTGACAGGGACGCGCCTGGCCCCAGAGCGCTCCCGCCCTAGGGACGGGCCTCCAGGCCACGGCCGCGCTCACTGTGGCAGCGCGGGGCGCATGCGCAGGGGCGAGATCGGCCGCGCTCACTGTGGCAGCGCGGGGCGCATGCGCAGGGGCGAGATCTGCCGTGCGCGGAGCCGGAGCTGCGGAGGCGGCGGCTGTGGAGGCTTAGCCGCGCGGCGGGGCTGTGGGGGCGGCGGCTGTGGAGGCTTAGCCGCGCGGCGGGGCTGTCGGGGCTGCGGCTGTGGAGGCTTAGCCGCGCGGCGGGGCTGTGGGGGCGGCCCGCACAGGGGTTGGCGCGGAGGGAGGGCGAGACGCACCGGCTGCGCTGTCCGGCAGGGCGGAGGGAGCCTGTGCGGGACCGGAACCCGCACCGGGACGTTTGAGCAGAGCTCTGGGCGGCTTCCCAGCTCCGGGCGGGCGGAGGGCGGGCCGCAGGGCGAGGCCAACACGGGGACCGTCCTCCTGCGATCGGAGCCGGCGACACTGGGGACAGGCGCGGCTGCCCACCGTGGGGGATGAACTCTGCCGAGCTGGCACGTGTCCGATTTGGCACGGGGAGTTACCTGAGGCCCCGAGAGAAGGTGCCAGGGAACAATTTCTCCTAAGAACTACCCTGCTTGCGGAATCCTCCTCACGCAGAGAAGAATTGGTGGGGAGAGAAGTGAGTTTAATGTCATACAATTTTTATTTTTTTTTTAATTCTAAGATTTCTTAAACTGCAGTTAAATGACAGAAAATAAGGGTAAGTTACTAATTCGTTATTTTTGCCAACATTGGCTGAGTGTCAAGTACATCCATGCTAGAACATGCTCACTTCAGTCTGCTTCATTTCTGCACTATGGGATCGTTGGAGATTAATTTGAATTCTGCACCCAAATTATAGCCGTGATACCCTGGGTTACTCTTAGGGATGTCTCAGCTCCTGCTATGGATTCGTGCTACAGCCGGTTGGACCTGCCGGCATCAGGGAGTGTCCTTGTGAGTCTGGATGCTTCCCCAACTTCACCCAGAGGACAGTGGTGGGCCGTGTCCCTCACATCCTTTCTTTACATTACAACCTCACTAGTGAGCGCTGGGGCTAGCGAGAAGTGGGTGCAAGTGACACTTGTCACGTCAAGCACGAAGGACTCTCAGATGCTACTATGCACTAAACTCATGAAACCCTCTTGTCATCGGCTTTCTTTATCCCCCGGCTGTGTGGCTGTGGCTGCAATGTTTCAACCAGCTAGTGTCTGAACTGCCTGACCTCTCTGGAGAAACCTATGTGATTGAAATGCAGACATACCTGGTGCCTCCTCTGCACTAACGCACTGCAGGAGTAATTCAGTGGGGAGTCTGTTACGTCCCAAATGTGTCAGTATTTCTGACGGTGGAGGTCAGGCCCGTCTGGCTGTAGGCGAAGCTGGTTTCCAAGGTCAAGGACCTGGCCCCCTGGCTGAGAACCAATGTACTTGTGAACCCAAGGGTGCTGCAGTGCCAGGAAAGGAATCTGCATTGCCATCCCCTCCACAGTCCTTTCCCTCCCTGTTAACTCGTCTCTGTGTCTCCACTTCTGCCCTTCCATCCCAGACCACCTCATACTTCTTGATTTCATCATCTGCTCGATTCTTGTGACATCTCACAGCTAATATAGAAAGCCACCTCCAGCATGACAACCACAGTTCTCACAATTGTTATTCCCATGTGGTCTCCTGGCTGTGTCCCCAGCATACCTGCTGCTGAGGGTGAAAGTGACAGTGTGGTGTGCTCACACTGTTGTGTCCCCAGCAGGCTGGGGTCCCCAGGGAAGGGGTTGCCACTTAAGTCTGACCACCCTTGGTCTATGTCGTATGCATCACAGATGCCTGTTTCACTACCAATCTCTTTAGTCATTTTAGTGTAATTTGGAAAGTAATAGACAACCTTGTCTGAACCCCAGAGTGAGCATAACACCACTACAGCTGAGACCTGAGCCTTGAAAGATCTGATTGCAGAACTCAGACTCATTGCAATATCCTCATCTCATTCTCTTTTCTTAGGGTTCAGATAGAATGTGTCCTGTGGTCAAAACGTCTGCTTTGCACGTAAGTGCAGACATCACTTATGACAATATCCAAAGTGAAGACTGAGCCATGTAGTCTGCTCACTGGCTCAGCCATTGTGCCTCTTCAGCAGATATGAGCATCAGCGTTGGCACAGCCAGATGATTCTCCGTCATTTCTGACAACCTGTGGAATGTCCCATGTGGGAATTTCAAACAACACTGTCCAGAGTATGCCAAGAGATCCAGTTATGCACCATTGGGCCTGGCCTTTTTGGTTCACCTCTGGCTTCCATCACTGGGAGACAAACATGAGACAATACAAAGTATGGCGTTTACAAAGAATCTGTTAATTGGCAACAGAGGATCCTATTGTCTCCAGAATCTGGGTTCTGAACACTGAGTTTGAGACATGGAAAGGATGCCTCCTCCAGCATTGTGCCTGGGATGGCCTCCTGTGTGACCTGAGCTACACCAACTGGGGGTTTTCCTGGATATGGACATCGGGAACATTTTCTTTTTCAACATGACTCATATGCCCCCTATCTTTACAATCCCCAGACTTCTTCATCTGAGCCACTGTACTCATTTCTTACTTTTTACCATTCCGTGTAATGTTGGTCAAAGCTTCCCAAGTATCTGAAGAATCCCTCATTTTCAGAGGAATGTGAAATTATATTCCCATCTAATTAGAATTGATTTTATATAATGCAGCTTCTGTGTCACCTTGCTTTTATGTTTTGTAGCAACAATATAATAAAAATTCTATACCAGGCCAATAAGGCATGAATGATTTACTGTAGAGGCAATGGAGAACCAGGCAATGTTTAGTTATGACAGGGGAGTGTTTATATTTGAAAAAAAAATAATGCTGAACTCTGCAGATATATTGGAAAAAGATAATACTGAATTTTTAAAAATTCTATTAGAGTGCCATATACTACAGGATAAGCAGAGATTTGGAAATGCTTATTTTATTAGACCAGAAAAATGATCAAATATAAATCTGGACAAACTAGAAAGTCTGGGTAGATATTGGCTCTAGTGACACCAATATAATCACATCCTAGCATCACTTCCAAGTAAGAAGTATCAGAGGATTGTGGTTCCTTCAAATGCAAGCTCCCACACACCAAGACATCCATTGAGAAAATAAAGCCATGCTTTCCAAAGTGTTTAGCATTCATTTAACATGTTTATTCTTCTAAATATTGCAGAGTAGGATGAAAATTCCAAAGATAAGGGAGTGTAGGACTGAGACAAAGACAACCACAGACGCACTGAACCACACTCCATAATTGCATTGCCCGGACTGTCAAGGAGTAACCCTGAGGTCACAGTCCCCAGTGCCAGGACATGCAATCACAGGACCGGGGGTGCCAGCAGGAGACACGCACACACGAAGCAGGAAAAGCCCGCGTGAGAAGGCCACTTCAGGTTGCCCCCGTCAGAATAACACACCCCTGGCCTTGTACTCCTCATCCACCCACAGTGGATGGGAAATGGTCAGGTGCGGAACGTTTTCCTCCAGGGCTGTCAGCAGCATCTGAGTTTCCGCACCAAACACAGACTTGTCCAGCCTGGGAAGACAGAAATAAAAGTTTCCTTTGCACATGATCACTTGCCTGTCTGCATCCCGATGCCTCCTTCTCCTTGTCATTCCTCCCTGGAAAGGCCGGGAGAATGTGTGGAATTTGAAGAGAGAGCAGGAATCTTTCCTATTGAATCTGATTTGCACTGAAAGTCCATCTAAGGCATGTATCAAGAAGTTAAGATTTGAGTAAAACAAACAAACAAAAAATTTGAGGTTAGGTGGCAATGAAAACTTCCATTCATTGGATGTTTATATGCCTAGGCACTTTTGTTGTACATTATGCATAATGTGTTTTTTTTAACTTAATATATTATGGACTTTTCTTAAACATACAGAGACTAGTATGATGAATTCATGTACCATCACCAGTTTCAATAATTATCAACATTTACACTTTTCTATTTACACCCCACCCACTTTTGAGAGGTAATTTAAAGTACATGCGACACCCTTCAATACTTCAGACATTCTTTTTGTTAAAAAAAAAAAAATTCCAGGGCAAGACTAATACCATTTTTAATCAAGACATTTTGTTTCAGAAAAATACAGATAGATAGGAGTTATCGTTAGAATAAAATCATACTGATGTTTTTGTTTTGAGACAGAGTCTCACTCTATTGCCCAGGCTAGAGTGCCGTGGCGTCAGCCTAGCTCACAGCAACCTCAAACTCCTGGGCTCAAGCGATCCTTCTGCCTCAGCCTCCAGAGTAGTGCCACCATGCCCAGCTAATTTTTTCTATATATTTTTAGTTGTCCAGCTAAATTCTTTCTATTTTTAGTAGAGACAGGGATCTCACTCTTGTTCAGGCTGGTCTTGAACTCCTGATCTCGAGCTATCCTCCCGCCTCAGCCTCCCAGAGTTCTAACTTCAGATATTCCTAAGTCTACCTTGTAAGCAGCTGTGGTCAAGCATATTGTCTGGAACCGAGTGCCTGGAGCCTGCACGGCTATTTTCAAGGTCTGGGTAAACCCCTCTCTGGGCATGGGTATCTTATTCCACGAGGAAGGGCAATACTAGTGCCCCTTGTGGGCTGCTATGAGGATAAAGTGAGTTAATATACTCTGGTGCTTAAACCTGTGCCTGGCTCTGTGGGATCTCTGTCCACATCAGCTCCAGGACCCTCCTGCCTCATCCTCAGCAGGTCCTGCTCTGACCACAGCCTCCCACCCACTCTGTGCCCATAACTCTAGCTCTGCTCAGTGTCTCACCTGTTACTCTGACACATCACTCCTCCATCCCAGTATAGAATAAAGGGCATGAGGGCAGACAAGTGAGCCATTTTGTCCATGGCCACATCCTCAGCTCCTCATGCCAGCGAACATTTAAATACCCATCCACAGATGTCAAATAGGTACACTCTAAATGCAAATATAATTTTCAGAATATTAACTGCTGCTCTTTATTGAATGTATTTCTGAGTCAAGACTCTGATCAGCCCTTTATAGCAATGGTCCCCAACCATTTGGGCATCAGGGACCGGTTTCATGGAAGACAACTTTTCCATGGATTAAGGAGGCGAGGAGGTGTGTGTGTGGGGGGGGGGCCTGGAGCTCAGGTGATGATGTGAAGCCCATTTCCTAACAGGCCACAGACTGGTACCGCCCTGGGATTGTGGAACAGAGCTTTATGGGACCTCTTCCAGCTCCGAGCTGGTGTTGCACACTCACGGGCAGTGTAGGTAGGAGACAGTGTGTACAGTAGAGCTTTGGTTCTACTGGTGCACGTGTGTCTCCCAGGGGACATTTGGCAATGTCTGGAGATATTTTGATTGATTTCACAATGGGAGGGAGGTGTTGCTGGCAACTAAAGAGGTAATAGAGGACGAAGACGTTGCTCAACATCCTACGATGGACAGGATAGGCCCCCACAACTAAGAATGCTCCAGCCCAATGTCAGCCATTTGCTGAGGTTCACAAGGGATTGACCTCGCTCTGAGGTCACGTGTCACCTGGGGAAACAGCGTCCACTCACCCAAGCATCTGAAGGGCGCAGTGTGGGTGGCTCAGGGACTCACACAGCATCACCACCCCATCATGGTCCAAGGTAACGGAGTCGAGGTTCAGGGTCCTCAGTGTTTTGCAGATGGTCAGGGCTGAGGCGAGGGCTTCACAACAGGCAGAGGTGAGCTGACACGTCTGCAGCCTGCAGAAAGGAGGCACAGCAGAGAAACAGCCACGGCTTTGGGCAGGCTGGACAGCACCACATTGTTCCACATCAGCTCCATGCCTCTGAGCGGAGACTTCACCATTCAGACCAGCCATCCTCAACCAGGGTGACTGTGCCCTGGTGGACAGATGGCAGTGTCTGGTGACATTGTCCCAACAGGGGGATGCTACTGGCAGCTGGTGGCCAGTGGCCAGGATGCTGCTAAACATCCTCTGAGACACAGGACAGCCCCACAGCCAAGAGCCACCCAGTCACAAATGTCAACAGAACCAAGATTGAACAAACCCTGGGACAGCATTTCACATATCTGGTTGTTCCAGATAGACCTATTTTTATAAACCTGCTTCCCTATAATCCTATTAAACCTCCAGCTCTTGCTACTCTTGAAATAGGGAAGCTCTCCCACGAGGATAAAGGCAAACACTCACCCAAGACACTGTAATTTACAGCTCGAATGCTTCAGAGCCTCACATAGCTGTTTGACACCAGCATCTCGGATGTTATTGTTTGCAAGTTTCAGGGTCTTTAGCCTTTCATTGCAACTGAGAACAGCGGAGATGTCCTTACAGGAGACAGAAGTCAGGTCACAAGCCATCAACCTGCAGGAGAAATACACACACACAAACACGTGTGCACTCAGGAAGTCCAGTCTTTAACAGCCCAGGTTGTTCTAATTTATTCACATGAAGCAAGAAATACCCAAGTGCTTCTCAGATGACAATGAAGCAGCAGCGACTTCTCAGTTCTCCCCCTTACTTGCCCTGCTCCACCCCACCCGGCTCTTCCCCTCCTGGGCCTTGCTGTGCTGCCCTCTCAGCCAAAATGCCCCTGGCCCCAGTTGTCCGCAAAGGTCCCTCCTCACTGCCTTAAAATCTAAGCACCAATTCCACCTTCTCAGTGAGGATCGGGTCCCCGATCCCTCTCCACCCACCATGCTCATGATTCTCCACTGTACTGTCACCTGCCAGCACACAGGTGACAGAAACATGGTAGGTGCAGAACAGAGGCTAGGTAGAGGGCAGATGGACAGATGGTAGATGAGTGACAAATAGATGACACATGTGCATGTATATACATGCACACAAATCCACACAGATATGCATATGTCTCATATGTTAGTGTGTGTATATGTCAGTGGCTCTCAGGCAGGCATGACTTTTGCCCTCTGAGGGACATTTGGCAGTGTCTGGAGACTTTCTGGTTTGCCACACCAGTGCTACTGGCAGGAGGAAGAGGGGTAGGGGAAGGAGGAGGAGGCCCCCCACAACAGACAATGAACTGGGCCAAAATGTCAAGAGTGCCAAGATTAAGAAACAACAATGTAAACACACATGCACGCGTGTGCAACCTCACATGCACACATGTGCACATGTGTATATGACACTCCATAAATAGAAGTCCATGAGAACAGGGGTGGTGGAGTGTTTCGTTCACCAATCTACATTATCCACCCAGAAGAATCTGCAGTTCCCAGAAGGAATGAATGATTCTCATGCTATAGCTCCTGTTGTCATTTACTGAGTGCATATTAACAGTCATTGATAGTTTTTCATATGCATGATTCCAACTGGCCATCTCATTTCTTTGAGGTGGGACTACAGTTATCTTCACGTTACACCCGGGGAGAGGTGCATTGCCTGCACAAGTTCACATAGCCCGTCAAGGGCACCCTGGAGTCCAGTTTAGGCCTTTCTGGGGCCAGAGACCCAATTCCAGGGGGACATGCTGTACTTCCTGTATCCTCATAGCACCTTTGGTCAGGACCCAGGTGAGCATGCCACTGCACATTCCTGGAGGAATCACATCCATCATCTCACATGATTACATATTTAGCAGACACAGTTCTCTCCTGTCTTAGTCCATTCAGGCTGCTATAACAAAATACCACATGCTGAAATATGTGGCTTATAAACAACAGAAATTTATTCCTCAGCTCTCTGGAGGCTGGAAGTCCAAGACAAGGTGCCAACAATTCAGTGTCTGGTGAGGGCGGCTTCCTGGCTCATAGACGGCATCTACTTACTGTGTCTATGTGTAGTGGAAGGGGCAAGGGCATCTCTTGGGCCTCTTTATAAAGGTGGAAGACCCCATCCACCCTCATCACCTACTCACCTCCCAAAGGCCCCACCTCCTAATACCGTCACCTTGGGGGTGAGGAATCAATGCATGAACTCTAGGGAGACACAAACATTCAGACAATGGCACTTTCACCTCTCTATTTCCTTCCCATAATACCAATATCCAAAAGAGAAACCCCAACATTGAAGCACATCATATCCAGTCCTACCACAAGTGCTGTATGTTGCAGTTCGGGTGCTTCAGTGCTTCACACAGAGATGCTACTCCATCATCTTTCACAAGATTGGACGCCAGATCGAGGAAGGACAGGGATCTGTTGCATAAAAGGGCTTGGGAGATGTAGTCACAGGAGACATGGGTGAGACAGCACTTCTTTAACCTGCAAAGAAACACACACACAATCTGCCAACCCACGTGGGCTTTACATGGTAATATTCTTATGTCTCCACATGAAAAGACTTTCAAGTTGTTCCTTGTACTCTGCCATCACTTGAGAAAATAAGGAGATTGAAACTTATAGCAGCTACAGAAATATAGAAGAATGAATGTGGGACACAGTGTCCTAACAAACAGTTTCGGGTTCCAGTTCCAAGTCAGGTCACCACCTGCTGAATGACCTTGGACAAAATCACCCATTCTTTGCAATAGAACATACTGATGGCTTTAATGGAACATACTGCTGCCCCGGCCAACCCCCCAGCAGAGGAGGCAGTTCACTCTGCATGTTAGCAATAAGAAGAGGAGACACTAGGATAATTCAGCAATAACCCAGAATGCATGAAGCCCTGAACTGAAAGGAGTCAAATAAGTTCCTTTTTCTTGATTATTTATATGGTCTCCTACCCCAGCACCCAGTATTCCTACAGGGACATCATCCCTCTTCATGATAACCAGGATCGACTGAGCTCCAAATTAGATGTGAGGCATTTAAGGGCTGGTCTTGCACCTCCTAGATTCAGTGTCATGGTGCCTCTATGTTTGTATCCATTTACACAGGAGGCAACTGAGGCATGAAGGAGGAACTCAGGTCTATCTACAGGTTCCGAGTTCTGCTGTGTCCCCCAGTGAGCATTTGATTGCCGGGAGGATCCACGTGAGCATGTGCACTTCTGAAACCTCCCTCAGCGTGCCTCCCCTGACCCACTTACATCAGCGTCTCCAGGACACAGTTTGGGTATCTCAGGGCTTTACACAGCGCCATGATGCCTTTGTTCTTCACGGGGTTTTCTACCAAGGAGAGGCGTTTCAGCTTGCTGTTGCAGATGAGGATGCGGGAAATATCTTCACAAGCGTCACTTGTGATGTTGCACTTCCCCAGTCTACAAGTGAGACATGCTGTGAGATGCCACCAAAGTTTTTGGTGGCTTATGCAAGATTAGTCATAAACCAAATGATGCCTCCAATTCTAATCTTGCCCCTGCAAATCCCTTGTCTGTATTCCTGGCTTTTTGAAAGCACAGACATAATTACGTGGCTTTCCCCATTAATGACTGATGGCTTTGCTCTGAAGTTAGCAAAAAGTCTAAGCCAGTAGTTATTGACTGGGAATGATTTTGCTTCTGGGAGAGATATTCTTGGTTGTCACAACAGAGGACACGAGGGATGCTGCTCAAGATCCCTGCATAGGACAGAAACCCATGGCAAAGGGTCATCTGGAACTCGATAAATCTGATTATCTGATTATTTGTTGATAGTGCTGTAAGAGACAGAAAAGACCACACTGCTTGTCCTATACCCACACACTCAGCATTACACATGTCTGTGACCGGATGTACGGCAAGTTCCCCCTCCACCACAAGAAACATTTCGTCAGTGGACAGCAAGTGAGTGTCGTAAAATGTAAGTCAATCCTGACACTGTCCACGTAAAGTCAGAGTTAGACCCCCAGGGCGAGCGCTCAGTCCTATAAGACTGCCCTGTACCCCAGAGGCAGCCATCAGCCCCAGGCTGGGTTGCCCATGCTTCCCACCAACTGACCTGAACTCCTCCTAGGCTTCGGCTAATTTGCTAGAGTGGATCGCAGACCTCAGGAAAACATGTAAACATTTAATAAAGAAACAGTAAAGGATACAGATGAACCGCCAGATGAGGGGATTTATAGGATCAGGTCTGGGTATCCCCCAAGTACAGGAGCTTCTATCCTAGTGGAGTTGGGGTGTGATGAGTGGACGTGTTTGCCACCCCAGAATCTCTCTGATCTCCATGCTTTTAGGGTTTTTATGGAGGCATCCTCACATAGGCATCATCAATTATTAACTCCATTTCTAGCCCCTCTCCCTTCCCTAGGGTTGGGCCTGAGGCTGAAAGTTCCAAGCTTTTCATCATTGCCTGGTCTTTCTGGTGACAGCTCCACCCAGGACCCCACCAAGAGTGGCCTCGTTAGAACCAAAGACATTCTGCTCGCCAGAGAAATTCCAAGGGACTTAGGAGCTCTGTGGCAGGAACCAGGGATGAAGACCAATATACATATTGCTTATTATACATCATAATATCACAAGTGCCAAGATTGTTAAACAGGGTTCTGAGATTTCATGCAGCTTAAAACTGACCGGCAATCAGGGCCCTGCCAATTTCTTAAAGTCAGTCTCACCCCACGTCCAACTGCAGTTGACCTTTGAACACCATGGGTTTGAACTGCCCGGGTCCACTTATACATGGATGTCCTTCCACCTCTGCCACCCTGGAGACAGCAAGACCAACCCCTCCCCTTCTGCCCCCTCAGCAGACTACTCAATGTGAAGATGAGGAGGATGAAGACTTATGATGTCCCCCTTCCACTTAATGAATAATATGTTTTCTCTTCCTTATGATTTTCTTAATAACATTTTCTTTTACCTAGCTCACTTTGTTGTAAGAATACAGTGTATAATACATACAACATACAAAATAAGTGTAAATATGTGTCCACGTTGTTGGTAAGGCTTCCAGTCAGCAGTAGGCTATTATTAGTAATTAAGTTTTGGGGAAGTCAATGGTTATGTGCAGATTTACTACTGCACATGGGGTCAGCACCCCTGACCCCCACATTGTTCAAGGGTCAACTGTAGCCGAGTTACATGGCTGCCTTCCAATTTCTCTTCTCCATCGTACTTAAAGATCAATGCACGTGGAAGTCGGATGCATGGATTCTTTGTTTCTCCATTCTGATATATTTTTTTAAAAAGCTCCTGATTCTTCAAGCCTCTTTTGATTAAAAGTATAATGGGGATCTGTCCTCTCAGACCAGGAGGAAATTAGAGAAAAAATGGAGCAGAAGCAATATTTAAAGATATAATGGGAAAATGTTCTCAGAAACCTGTGCAAACATTCATCCACAAATATAGGAAGCTCGGTGAATTTTTTAAAGCAGGATAAATACAAAGAAATACAAAAAACCCACACATGATTGGGGGGGGGGAAATCTTAAAATTAGCAAGAGAAAAGACACATTAAACAACATTGCCTTCAATTGGACAAAATACTGATGACTAAATTTAGAAAAAGTTTGGAAGCTAAAATATACTAGAACTGCATCTTTAAAGTGTAAGAGAAAAAAAGAGCATTAACATACAATTGTGATGTGTGAAAAAAATCTTCAGAAATAAAATCAAAAGAAAAGCATTTTCAGTCCCACACATGCACCAGTGGTCGTCTGGTTTCCAAAGACAGCTACTGTCATTCAGGTGAGAAAAAGTGGGCATTCAACAGTGCTCTGTGTTCATATGGAGAAAAAACTTCATATCACACAAAAGCATTCATTCAAAGTAGATCATAGCCTCAATTCTGCATGGTAAAATAAGACTTTCTGAAAATACATAAAAAGTTATCTTTATTACTTTGGCCTTAAAAAATTTCTTAAACAAACATAAAGGCATTCAAACATAAAAAATTGATAAATTAATTTTGATAAAGAGCCTCTCCTTCATCCAAAGACAATGTTAAAAATGTGAGAAATCAGGCCACGCAGAGAGAAGAAATTGACAATGTATATATTTGACATAGAATTCCTTTCAGAATATATTTAATAGAGAAAGCATCCATCAATCAGTTAAAAAAAAGACAACCCAGTAAAACAATGAGCTTAACCAGCACATCAAACCAGCACATCACAACAGGAAGACCAAACAGTCAAACTTACCAAAAGGTGTTTAAATTATTGGTTGTTAGGGAAATTCAAATTAAATCCACCCAGATATTGCATCACAACTACAATGATTAGAATTTAAAAGATCAACACCGTTGAGTATAGGTGAGGTGGTGGTACTAGTAGAACACTAGTATGTTTCATAGCAGTATAATCTAGTAAAGATGTTGGTAAACTCTTTTGTGAAATCTACTAAAGCCAAAATACACATTCCCCATGACCCACTTCTGGGTGCATGCTCAAAAGAAATGTGTGCTTATGTTTATGTCCCGAAAAGTATGTACCAGAATGTTTATAGCGGCTTTATTCATGATGGCCAACCATTGGCAATAGCCAAAATATTCAACAGCAGGATAATTAAGCAGATTGTGGTATATTCATACACAGGGATAACATTCAGCAAAAACAAAAGATGAAAAAAGGAAACTAAAGACACGAGAAAAATACCCAAATCTACTACTACACAAAACATTATGAATGCCAGAAATGTTAAGCAAATGATATTGATAAAAAGCATAAATCCTATATGATTCCATTTCTGTAAATCTCAAGAACAGGAAACATAATTAAATCTAGAGCAAGGGAAGCGTGAAAACCTAGGAAACAAGATCCTACAAGGAAGAGGCCCTTGTTGACAATGTACAAGGAAGACAGCCACGGAGCAGGTACAGACACCATATTCTCCTGGAGGGCTCTGGACACCAGTCTCTGGGAGAAAATATGAAAGAAAGGCCGGTGTAGTGGCTTCACACCTGTAATCCTAGCACCCTGGGAGGCCGAAGCAGGAGGATAGCTCGAGGTCAGGAGTTCAACACAAACCTGAGCAAGAATGAGATCCTGTCTCTACTAAAGATAGAAAGAATTTAGCTGGACAACTAAAAATATATAGAAAAAATTAGCCGGGCATGGTGGCCCTTGCCTGTAGTCCTAGCTGTTCAGGAGGCTGAGGCAGAAGAATTGCTTGAGCCCAGGAGTTTGAGATTGCTATAAGCTAGGCTGATGCCACAGCACTCTAACCTAGGAAACAGAATGAGACTCTATCTCAGAAAAAAAAAAAAAGAAAGAAAAAGAAGAAAGAAAGAAAGAAAGAAGATTCTTTTACCAGGGTGAAAAAAACTGAGTTGTTGGAAGGTGTGGGGAGATTTCACAATAAATACAGGAATCTAATCATAGGAAATTAGACATCCTTATTCAATAAAATTCTTAAGAAAGAAGGAAATGTAATATTTAGTATTAAGTTGTACTTTACTAAAGTTTTAAAAAATGCTAAGTCTAGTTTTACTGGAATTTTCATAAAAACATTTTTTAAAAACAGCTATATGTATTAGATTAGTAAAATTTCCCAGTTTAATAACATACTATTGTTTGGTAAGATGTTACCCTTGGTGAAAGCTGGGTGATTGGTACATGAGACTTCCCTGTACTATTTTTGTAACTTCTTGTGAGTCTATAAAAATCTTTTAGTAAAATGTAAACAACAATGGCAAAGTAGAATGGCTAGTGTAGAAAACCAGGTATTCGCCAGAAAGGTATCAAGACACACATAAAGTAAGGCAGTGGTATCCACAAAAACAGTTGTCCAGGGCCACTGTATACTACTGGATGGCTTTTGCCCAGTACAAGGGCCCCTGGGTTGATTTAAGCAAATAACCAGCCCACTCTGTTAGCCAAGCTGACCCCTCCCACCACCAGAAGAGATGCGTCACTTTAATGCATCCTAGAGCACTTCCTGGGCTTGCACTACCAATGTTTTGAACTAGGTAATTCTTCGTAGTGTTGGTGGGGAAGCTGTCCTGTGCATTGCAGGGTATTGAGAAGTATTGCTCACCTCCACCCACCAGATGTCAGTAGCACCCTCCCCGTTCACTTGTGACAACCAAAACTGTCTCCAGACATGGACATCCCCTAAGGGACAACATTGCCCTTGTTGAGAACAACTGAGTGAGAAAGAACTTGGGTTTGAAGACCACCCACCTCCAGTACCAAACTGAAGTAAATCAAGAAAACAGCTGGTTTGCTCCAAAAGGCAACATTTCCAGCTGTAAAATGTCTGTGATTCACTCCTGCTTTCCATAGATTATTCAGTTCTTATATTAATATATAAAACCCTGTGCAAATGGCATAACTATGAAATGGGGCAAAATACTAAGGGGTTTTGTAAGTTACCCTGAGAAAGAGTAGAACGGAAAAAAAAATTGCCATGATATGGAGACAGCTTGAATGATGACTGAGATTGACAGCAATTCTATATGCTCAAACAACTCATACGTAGAACCTGCCTCTTTCTCCTGATCAGTTGTGACACATGAAATTAACCGAGTGTACGTGAACCCGTCAATTGTGTTTGCTGTGGTTACGGGAAAGAGACAATGAACTGAGAGAGACGAGCATTTCTCCTGGTGGGTTAATGACTTGATTTTGTTTATTGCTGCCTCAGTGACTTCTCTTTGTTCTCTCTGTGGAGGAATGGATTGGCCCTGCCTATAAATCACCCAATTGGGATAGGGGAAGCCCAAATAATTTTAAAAAGGAAGAAATTACTTTGGGCAAGTCCCTTTCCCTCCAGCTCAATGTTGTCATCTGCCACAAATGATCACACTTGTGATCATTTACATGCTTTTTAGAGTTCCTATGAATATCTTTAAGAGGGTAAACAAAGTTCCAGTTTTAGCATGGTTGGTTAAGGGCAGAAACAATAAGCCTCAGGTAAGGCGTCCCTGAGATGGGAAAGGTGGAGCAAATCTTCTGAGAGGAAGCCTTGCCCACTAAAATCCATTCTCACCTTGCTAGAACATCTGGGAGATGGAGGTTGAAAAGACAAAAACACGAAAGATGAAGGCTGATGCAATGATCTCCAGCAAAGAAAATGGGTGTATTCAAACCGCAAAGTTGACATGAGGAAAACATACCATTAGGCATGGACGATTCAGAGACTTACATCAACTCTTCCACATTGCACATTGGGTCCCTCAACATCTCACACAGGTGCCCGACATCAGTGTAGGACAGCCTGGTGCCATACAGGTTCAGGTATTTCAGATGAGGGGTATGAATTGCATTAAAGAAGTCTGAAGTATTTCCAAAGTTAGATATATAAGAAAACCTGCAAAGGATAAGGAAACAGAGTCATGCAATGAGATCCAAGCGCCCACAAGACACCTGTCATATGATTCTTTCTGCTTTAAATGCTTAGTCTCATTCCACTGCTTTTGGAATTCTGGTTATTCCTGCCTATAAATGATTTCTTGCTGGGATCTTCAGGCACCAGAAAAGTACAGGGGTTCAAGCTGCTTAGAAAAAAAAAAAAAAAAGAGTTCAATGAGGTCTACTGTTTACTATCCATGTGGGATCTTTATAAATTCATTTCTGAGTTAGTCTCCTTACACAAAATTAAGAAACCATTTTCAGGGTGCATTCATTCAGCACACATTTACTGAGCCCCTACAAAGCTCTGGATTTTGCTAGATGCTGGAGACACCAGGCTAAACAGCAGAGATGTCATTTCTCCCATTGTGGAGGTTTAGTCAACAAGCATGCTTTGTGCTCTGCAGGATCACCCCTAGCTTTGGTGACCTGCTGGGAGGTCTCATGTGACTTGGAATATAGTCATACTGTGGCTGTGATTTATTAAAGTGAAAAGACATGAACCAAAATCAGCAAAGAGTAAAAGAACCTGGGAAAAATGAAGAGGAAATCAGGCATACGCTTCCAAGAGTTCTCTCCCAGTAGAGTCACCAGGATACAATAAATTCCTCCAGCAACAAATTTTAACAACACACATGAGGCATTGTCTACCAGGGGAGTTTATTAACCACTTCAGTACCAACGTCAACGATAGTCGACAGCCACAGATGAACACGCACAGCAACTTTAGCCGACAGCCATGATATGACTTTTCTAATTTTTCATTTATCAAAATAAAATTGTGAACATTTAAAAATAACGTAATGAAAACATATATGTATATGTTACCTATTCTGATTTACATTACAAGTAAAGCTGCCTGTAAAGTAAAACAAGCTTTCGGTGCTTTAAAGCTTTCCTCATCACACAAGAGCAAAACGGATTCATCGTCAATGCACAGCACAAACTATCATGCGGACTATGAGTGCCGGCTATGGGCAAGGTTTCGCAGCCGGTGAGTGCCGTACCGAAGTGGTTAAAGACTCAGTGTGCAGAGTTTTTACTGGGGGCTTGTCACGTAGGCATCTTACGCCCAGCATGCGCCAAAATTCAAAACTCACAGAAGGAAGTGAAGCATTCATCATAAACCATGTTGTTGATGCAGTTTAGGAAGAGTGAACCACTCCTATCAGTTAAGGGGCTGTGAATTCTCCCCCAAATCCAAGTTTCAAGACACCAGCCTCCTTTGATCAACCTAGCACTCAGGCCTCTGCAGGGTCAGGAGTGTTAAGCCTGTGGTGTTAACTCTTTTCTGTACAAATATATCAGTCCATAATTAGACATGAAATAACTGTTACCAAAGCATAGAAAGTGTTCCATGAAGAGGTGACCTTTAAGCTGAAGGAGCACTTAAATTTAACCTGAAAGCAGTCAGCTTGTGGGGATGAAGAGAATACCATGGCCCAGGCAAATCAAGATAATCAAAACATCAGGGAATTACTGTGCTCCTCTATCCTTCTGGTACGTTATTTGTATAAAGGTTACAATAATAGGATTGTTACCAGTATTAAAAGAAGCTAAAGGAAATATTGCACAAAAAGCAACCAGCTGTCTGCAAAAGAAATGTTTTGTAACTGCTACATATTCTGTATGCTTATTTTTATTATGTTGCTCTTTTACAAATTTGAGGCTATTTTCTGATCTGTTCTCAGCACCCTTCCTCCTCCTTTACCTGGGAAACATGTATTCTTGATCCATCAACATCCACACATCCTACCAGGACTGCTCTCTTTTCAGATCTCCAACAGGACTTTATTTTACACATCACTACACTTAACACACTGGATTACAGCTCTGTGTTTATGTGTTAGTATCTTTTCCAAAAAGCCCAGAGTAGAGAGAACAAACCTTTGCTGTTTTCTTAAAGCACATGCTTATATCCAACTTACCCCAATTTCTGGAGTTTGCAAGTGGGCTGAGCCAGTGCTTCACAAAGAATCGCCTGGGAGCTACTGTCGAGGCTAGAGTTTTCTATGTCTAATATCCGCAAGTCCTTGCTGGTTCTCATCACTGAGCAAAGATTATGCCAATAGGTGAGCTTCTTAACGTCACTATGAGAGAACAAAGACTGTGATTCTCCAGTGGCTAAATTCAATTAAAAACATTCTCTAAACTGGCAGAACACCATTACCAAAGCCCTTCAAAGCTGAACAGGAAGGTCAGTCAAGTAAACAGAGTCAACATAGCTTTGTGGTTAAGAAAGTAGACTCTGAGGCAAGAGGAATTGGGGTTGAACCTTGGTTGAACCACTTATTAGCTACATGACCCTGGGCAAGTGACTCAACCTCATTCTTCCTCTATTTCTTCCCCTTTTAGGCAAGAATATTTGATTGTTATGGGAACAAGTATTGATATTTGGTGATCTTTTCACTGAGCAGGGACCTATATCCAAAAACGTTGTGATAGATGGTATGCATTTGACAGCTAAGGTATGAGCTGGTGATTTGAACCTAATGAAAGAACCAAAGTGAAATAACAAGAGGGAAAGTCACATGGAAAAAAATTCAGAGGACACCGGGCACAAGCTTCCAAGAGTCCCCTCCCAGTGGGGCCACCAGGACACAATACACATGCTATGGAGGGGAAAAGTACAGTCTTGAAAACAATAAAACCTGCCTGCCTTTTAACCCCACATTGGCCCTAGAAAGTAGACACAACTTTTATTCTTCCTTTTACAGAAGGAACAATTTCAAGAAGTTGTGCTCATAGTCGGGCAGCTGAGGAACGGCAGTGCTAGGGCCCCAGAGGAAGTCTTTCCGACTACAGCGTCCATGTTGTTAAGCCCAGAAGTGCAAGGATTCGAGAAACACCCATTGCACGCTGCAGCAAACCACAAGTATGGAGTGTGTGTGTGGAGGTGGGGAGATTAATAGACTCACTTTGAGATGAATCTGGATTCGTCTGGAAAGATATTCTCCATACACAGGCGGAATTTCTTCAAATTTTGACAACGCTTTATGCAGAATGAAGCTACTACCAAGTGTTTCATATTACCGATATAAACTATGACGTCTTCAAAGAAATTCATCACTTCTGTTACAAAATCTTTTTCATGGGTTTCAAATAAACCATTGAACAATTCCTGAAAACCCAGTTCCTGATCGGGATCACACTGACTTAAATATTTAAGGCACTGGGTTATTTCCTGCTTTATGTCTTTTGACAGTGGAAAACCAAAGGATGTCTCCAGCATGCGGATAATTTTTTCTGTTGAAATTCCAAACACGAATACCCCCAGCTGGGTCAAGTGGACTTGACCTCGAGCGACACTTGCTGTTATAAGCTGGGTTACGCTTCCAATGGCCGGGTTAGGATTGTCTCTGGGAAGTTGGAACAAATAAAACATAGCAGCACAAAACTCTTGGATGGACACGTGCTTGAAGGTGAAGCAGTCACCGTTCCTTCTGAGAAGTGTCATGTCCACCCACATTGGGACATCAGATTCAGACACCCCATTCCTCCTGAGGTCCTCAGGGCAAAACACAAACGTGTGAGTCCATATCCCCTCTGCAGCCAAAGCACACAGGCTTTTTAGCCCGACTCTGCTCAGCTTACGGGGGCTGTCCCCACTTCCTGCTTTGAATATACTTGTTATGAAGGACACATACAAAGAGGTAGTGGTTTGAGAGTCAATTGCAAGGTCTTCTCCCCTCTCTAGCTGCCTTTTCATACAAGTACAGACCAACCAGCACAGGAGGGGATTTTGGTACGAGGTAAACGGTCGTTTAATACCTCTCAAAAACCTTAAGGCTTTGGAGGCTCTATTCTTGTCGCAGAAGAAGTGGTGGAAATACAGTTTCCTTTCATGCTCAGAGAATTCTGAGACAGTTATGAGTGTTGGATGATGCAACAAGAAATAGTTTCTCTGCATAGCCACTGTTCCAAATGCAAGAAGCAGAGAGGAGGCCGGAAGCAATTTTTTCTGCAACAAACTGCTCAGGATAATCTGCGTTGGCTGCCGCTGCCTCCAGTCATCGCACAAGTCAGTCTTCAGTTCCAGGTCAAACTTCAGTTCCTCAAAGCCATCCATGATGAACAGGACTCTCTCTGGCTGGGAAAAAACATCTTCGATTGTCTCTGAAGACTCAGGCCAGTCCCTGGAGAGGAGCTCCACTAAGCTTGTCTCTGCAATACAGTTCATTTCGTGGACATTGAGAAAGAAAACAAATGTGAATCTGTCCTTCCAGAATTTTCCTTCTGCCCATTCCAACATCACTTTTCTTAAAAGGGTCGTTTTTCCTATTCCTTGAGGACCTCGCAAAACTATAGTGGATGGTCCAGTCTTCTGGGCAGAATACATATCCACATATTCGTTCCTCCTGGTTTGTTTATAGAAATCCTCAGGGACTTGAAGACAGGTTTCCTTTTCCCATATGAGATGGAATTTTTCCTTCATATGCTTTCTGTATGGGCTTAGTTTATCTGAGTTAATGAGAACAGAATATGAAACAGTTAAAAACACACTCCTTCTTCTCTACTCTTCAGAACTAATCCTACAGACTTACTGGGACACACATGTACAGACTGGTATACACGTCTGGATACCCAGGCTGGTTAACTTAGTTTTGTTAGGACCATGATCTATCTGAAATCATGTCCGCAGAAGCATGTGACCAAAACTGAAAACCCACCTTAGAGTTCCAGGCTGTGGCAAAGTGTGAATGTGTGGAAATTATATTTCAAACTGGGAGAAGGGACCGTATCTCCCCAGTACAGAACCCATCAGCACCACCATTGCCTGGGAGTCTGCCAGGCGTCAGGGCTGAGAATGCCACTACGCATTCTGTATATTTCATCTCCCCAACAATCCATCACGATCCATTCTATTCCCACTTTCAGGAAAGTGTTGGGAGAGTTCATGTGAGTTGACTAACTTAGACAGAAGAATGAATATTAGGGGACAGTGTCTGTCTACCCCATCTCTGTCTGACTTGAAACCATATGCTCTGAGTTATTTGTATGACACCATGCTGACTGTACTTAATTTCAGAAAAGCACCCCTGAACCATCATCCTTTCAACCTGCCCTTACTGCATACCTTTCATGCTCAAAGCAACAAATTGTGGGAGGTAAAATAATAATACAAATGTAGTCAAAGACCATACCTTGCATTAAAGAATATGCACTGCAACAGGTGACCTAAGGCACATTTGCAGGTAAAGATAATGCAGGGAATACTGTAACAGGAACCCAAAGACATCTCCCAGAGCAAATGGCCTGTTACTCCAGTAATTATTTAGCAAGGACTCCCTGTGTAAAAGGAAATTTTATGTGGCCTTTACACAAGTTGAGATTTGGGAAGCTTCAGGTCACAAAGTGGAAACTAAAGGAGCTGAGACTCAATTTCTTCATTCCTTTAAGAGCCCATTTCCAGTTTACCCACATGGAGATTATTGGAGTTCTTTCTGAAAGGTAGATTTGGTGATGCCAAGACCAGCTTAGCTGCCATGAAGGACTTCCTTTCCTTCTCACACAGAATTGATAGGTCCTCAGAATACTCCCGCTCCCTCTCTGCAGGGACACCTGTCACCTGTGACATGCCACACTGCTTCAAGCCTCCTTGAGTATTCTCATGCCCTTTCCTTCTACCCAAGCATGTTTTAGCCTTAAGATGGGAAATTACATTTTCAAACCCAACCCCCTGGCTGTCAGGTGTGACCACATGACTGTATTCCAGCCTATGGATTGTGAGCAGAAACAAAATGTGAATTTTCAGGCCTTGCCCAGAAAAATTTCCTGAGCACCATCCCCGTGCTGTTTTCCCTGACACTAGCATAACGCAGGCAGCCCAACAACTAGGCCGTGTACTCAAAATGGAAGAGCAAAAAGTATGGATGGGGCAAGAGTCTTTGGGTCACCTCTTGGGGGTGAGTGACCCACACCAAGGAAGAACAACTGTTGTAGATTTCCTGTCCCCTAAAATACATTTCTTTCTTGTTCACATACTTCATTGCAACCAGTAATATTATAATAACTGAGATTTGAGTGTTTCTGTTAAAATACCCAGTGTTATTCTGACTACTAGAAACAAATCCAACTCTACCTTTAATTCTCAGCCAACTTTGCCATCCTCCTGCAACAGTAACAGAAATGAAGACCTCACTCCTTTACTTATCCTCTCATGACAGTTCACGTATACTGCTTACATAGCAATGGCTTTGGTGCCTCTTGATAACAGTCTGTCTCTTAGGATGGTGATTTTTAAGAACCAGGATTGCATTTTTAATCCGATATTTGCGGTGATGTTATATCAGGCCCAAAGTTAGAAACTTGGAAGAGTTTAACTGTATTGATTGCTTCTAAAAACTGGCCTTGTTTCTATAACCTCCCCCTTCTTTATGCATTCTCTTTAATTAAACTGATGCAAGCAAGTCACCCATTAGCAAAATACAATTGCATGCAAAGTTTATCTAATTAGTGATGAGAAATGGAAAAGGGAGAAAAGTTAAAATCCTTTTCATTTTCAAATTTCAGACAATACGCAAATCCAGAAGCAGACCACGAAGGGGCCCTAGACTCACACACAGGGAGGCAAGTCCCATCTCACTGACCACCTGTGTCTGAGCACCACAGAGGGGGCGGCGCCCACTTCTGTCCCCAACTGTATCCCTAAAACCTACCACACAGGAGTCACTCTTGCCTCTGAACAGTGATTTTGACTTTTTACAAAGTTAATATTACAAAAGTGTTTTGAATTTAAAACATAAAGAGAAAGGAAATAAAGGCATTCTAAAATTTTATTGCACATCCAGGATCCTGGTTCAAAGTTCGGTTTGTGTCTGTATCCTTCTGCCTGCTGTTTCTCCCTACAGCCGAATCACACTGAATGTACTATTTTGGAATTTGGCTTTTGACTGAACAACATAGTATGGGCATCTTTCTAAATTCATGCACGTTTTCTTCGTAAAACCCTCTGTTATTTAATTGAATGGATTTATCATTATCTTATCTATTTTCTATATTTGTCCATAATGAACCTTTGATGACAGTCAAGATTTTTTGAGACAAAATTGATAAATGAGGTTATTTAAAATTAATAATTTATAATTAATTATTCATGGTACACTTACTATGTACCAAAATACAGGCACCTGAGATATAATAATCAATCAAAGAAAAATCCATGCATTAAAGTTTTTGTATTAAAGACAAGAAAAATGAAGCCTTGGATTCCTATTGTTAGAATGCAACTCAGTTTGCACTGCTTAGTGACTTAGGACAATGTATTTTTCCTTTCATTCTTTCACAAGGAATGACTGAGGTCATATTACAATAAAAATATTCACATAATATTTTAAAGTGCAGCAACTAAGATTTGGGGTCTCAAGTGCAAAACTCTCAGTTCAGACAATGACTTGGTCATTTTTTTATCATCTGCTAATAATGGCTTTTCTGTGGATGAAAAGTCTCCCAAAACAGGAACCACGATGCTAAAGAAAACCACACCACAACACTCTAAACTGAATAAAATATCCTCAAACATGCATTTGGGTATAGGAACAATATCTTGAACTAGAAATACTAACACCAAGATGAGAAATGGATAAAAAAAAAAAAACACACACACACACACACAAAAGGTAAGGTGGGAATTGATAGAATCAGAGAGATAGTGGGAAAAGACAACAATCACATCAGTAATGGAGACTAAATTACAAGATGCCATGTGGAATTACAAGGCTCGAAGGAAAAATTAATGAGAGACACTGAAGGAAAGTAGGAAATCAAGCAAGAAAATGCAAATGATATTTAAAAATATGTAAAAAGGATCAGAAACAAAGTAGATTACATGGAATTCAGATAGAAGAGAGCCAACATCCATATTACTGACATCCCTAAAGAGAAAATCAAAACAATAGAACACAGCTAGTAGGTCAAACCTTTATTTAAGACATTCTCCAGAAATAAAGACAGACTCAAATCTACTTATTAAAATGGCCCACTATGTACCAGGGAAAACTGGCCCATAACCATCAACTTTTAGATATCTAGTAAAACTATTAGATTTAAAATTTAAAAAAAAAAATCAGGAGTTTGAAGAGAAAATGAAGGAAGGGAGGGAGAAAAAGAGGGAGGACATATCAGCAAATAAGTGGATGGGCATCACACATTTCAACAACAGATAAGTAGTTAGGAGCAAGCAGCACTAGAGAAGAATTTTCAGAAAACCCAAAAAGGGGAAATGTTAACCAAGAATACTGTATTCAGCCAAGCCATCCATCAAGTTCCAAGTCCATAGAAAACACATTTCAATGTTCCAGAACTCAGGAAATACTGTGCACATGCCCTTCTTAGAGGATCTATGAGGATGAAGCTCCTCCAACAAAAAGACATTTGGGTGAATGTCACAAAAACTCCTCCAACCGAAGGACATTTGGGTGAGCATTTCATCAGTGGCAGACCTAAGACCAAACCATGGGTGGGGTCTTGGGGTGAAGAACGCTGTATCCACCTTATATGTTCTGACAAAGCAGGAAGAAAGCACTAGAAATGTGGGAGGAGAAGGGAAGGCTATAAATCCCATCCATGAGTCAATCAGAACTGGTTTGGAGTCATATGTCACTTTTGGAAAGGTCCTCTAACATAGGGAGCACTGATCAGGCTGCCATTTTCTCATGTGTAAACCTCTGTTGAGCAGTGATGTGAATGAAAGGACATTATGCACAAAGGATGCTTCCTATAGTACCCAGGACATAAGCTCTCTACCATTATTTCCTAATATCAGGATACTGCCTAGTCCCTAGCACTTGTCTAGTCAAAGGGACAGGCCACTCCCATCCTAGAACTCCATCTCAGCAGACCTGGCAATGAAGGCACTAGCTCCTAGGTCATCTCCTGCAATAGAAGTGACACAGCCTGGGGCATAAACACGGGGAGATACTTAGATGAACAGTACAAGTCAGGACCCTGTCCATGCCCAGCTCATTGAGGGCACATGTATGACCAGCATTGGCTCGTGACTCTTCTACTGCCTCTGAGGCTCACATTGACCCACAGAACATTCTCACCTGATGGGGGTGGCCAGCCCTTCAGCAGTGATATCACCTTCCTGTTGAGAAGCTTCAGTGAACTAGCCATGCCCCCGGGGCCCCTGCCCCTCCACCCTGCACTTACTTCTCATCTCTTCCTGAGCCTTTGTCCAGAGGTCTTTCCGGTTGATCTGTAGAAACAGGCTCAGTGTCAACTCCCATGCCTGCTTTCCTGGGTAATGCTTTTCCAACAGCTTTGCTAGATCTTCTTTGGAAGCCTTCTTTATGTCAGGCCAGGGGATTGGCTTGAGTTCAAATTTCAGAGGTTCTTGCTTGAGGAGCTCCTTGAATTTCCAAAATTCTTCCTTTCTGAGCTCTGCCAGGTACCACAGCAGGCCAAAGTCAGAAAAGAAAGATTCAGCCATCATGTCCGGGGACTATGAGCTCAGACTTTCCCAGAGGAAAATGAATCTTCAAAAGAGAAAGAAGAAATACCTAGAAAAGGATGACATGATTACAGAGCTATGTCTCAGCAGCCTGAGTGCCTGGGCAGCACCGATGCCGGGCATTGCTCATATCGAGCACGCTCAGCCTTCTGGGGAAGAAGCGTCATCCTCCTTCAACTTTCTGCACGAACGCATGTGAATTCAGTGCTAGCAACTTAAAACGTAGTTTATGCTTAGTCAGATGTCAGGAGTGATCGTAACTAGCTAAAGCCATAATAAAGCTCTGAGGTTCCTCAGTGGAGTCAAGGAAGGGGAAGTCAGGATGTTTCTGTCCCTGTGCCCTCCGCCGTGTGTCTGCAGGGACACTTCTGAGAAGAGCTGGATGCTGACTGTGTGACTGCAGGAATTTCCATCTAAAGTCCAAAAGGCCCTGTGATACTGACTATTCCTTGGAGTAGAACCATTTCAGTTCTAACTTAACAAGTAATGAGTACTTTTTAAAAATCAGAAACCTAAAGGTGTGTCTTCAGTGCATGAAAATGTGATGACTCCCCGGAAGATGGCTACATGCAGAGGATTGAAACTGGATCCCCACCTCTCACCTCTTACAAAAATCAATTCAAGATAGATAACAGACTTAAACCTAAGGCATGAAACTTTAAGAGTCCTAGAAGAAAATGTAGGGGAGACTCAGACATCAGCCTAGGTAAAGAATTTATGAAGAAGACCCCTAAAACAATCACAGCAGCTACAAAAATAAATAAATGGGACTTGATCAAATTAAAAAGCTTTTGTACAGCCAAGGAAACTATGATTAGAGCAAATAGACAACCTACAGAATGGGAGAATATATTTGTTCTCTACACATCAATAAAGGGATGATAATAAGAATCTATCTAGAACTCACAAAAATCAACAACAAAAAATCAAACAACCCCATCAATAAATGGGTAAAGGACATGAACACAAACTTTTCAAAAGAAGACAGAATAATGGCCAGCAAACATATAAAAAAAATCCTCCTCAAAATCTCTAATCATTAGGGAAATGCAAATCAAAACCACAATGAGATATCACCTAACTCCAGTAAAATTGGAGTTTATCAAAAAATCCCAAAGCAACAAATGCTGGCAAGGATGTGGAGAGACAGGAACACTCTTACACTGCTGGTGGGACTGCCAGTTAGTGCAACCTCTGTGGAAAAGAATTTGGAGATACCTCAAAGAGCTACAAGTAAAACTACCATTTGATGCAGCAATAGCACTATTAGGCATCTACCCAAAGGAACAAAAGTCCTTCTATAATAAAGACATCTGCACTCGAATGTTTATGGTAGCACAATTCACTATAGCAAGGATGTGGAAACAACCCAAGTTCCTATCAATCCATGAGTAGATTAATAAAATATGGTATATGTGTACAATGGAATACTACTCAATTATAAAAAACAACAGTGATCTAGCACCTCTTATATTTTCCTGGATAGAGCTTGAGCCCATCCTCCAAAGTGAGGTATCACAAGAATGGAAGAATAGGCACCACAAGTACTCGCCATCAAATGGGCACTGACTGATCAACACTAAGGTACTCACACAGTAGTAATATTCTTTGGGAGTAGGGGGTTTGGAGGTGAGTAAACTGACAATTGATGAATGAGGTGAGTGTTTAAGGGGGGTAAAGGGCACATCTCAAATCATGGTTGGGATGTGGCAAAGTCATAACATGCAACCAAAATGTTTGTAACTCCATAATTTCCTAAAATAATAATTAAAAAAAAGGCAGAGAGCTGTGGCTGGGAAAAAAATTCCTAATTTCTAAAGGAAAGCAGGAAAGGCTTAATCCAAGGGCGCTGCTCTGGCTTTGACACGGCAGCCGGCAGCCGCGGGCAGAGAAGGGAGCTCTGCATGACATGGTCAAGGAGGTGCATTTCAGACAGCTCTGCAGGGCGGCACCCGGAATAAAGAGCAAGGACAGGAGGGACGTCCAACCAAAGTTCCAGAAAGAAAGAATGACATAAACCATGGAAAAAGTTTTCCAGATCTGGAAAAATGATTTGCATTTTCAGGATAAAAGTGTTTGTCAAGTGTTAGGGAATAAGAAAGGTAAACAATTACATCATATTTAACTTTCATAATTTCAAAAATGAGAAAAATATAGAGTCTATGTGAGTTTCGTCTAGTTGCTGCAACATAATGGGAGCCCTATTTGCAAATTTAAATGTTTGAGTAGTCACATTAAAAAGAGTTTAAATGAATAGGAGAAATATATTTTAATAGTATATTATTTAACCTGATATCTAAAATATTAATTCAACATGTAAGCAATTTAAAAAAAATCAATGAAATATATTTACATGGTTTTATACATTATGTCTTCAAAATCCACTGTGTATTTTATAATTACAGACTATTGAATTTAGATGACAAATCTTTTCATTGGAAATACTTGATAATTTTGTATAGCATTAAATAAGCAGTTGGGAAAAATAAATTCTCATACCCTTGTCATTTCATACATACATAAGCTTCCTAATAACTAAATCAAGCATTGGTTTTTAAAATTAAAAATTTGCATTAACTAAAATTAAAAATGCAGTTCCTCAGTCTCACTGGCCACACTCTAAGCTCCCGATGATCACGTGTGGCCAGCAGCCGTTACGTTAGAGCAGGTCTAAGCAGTTTACTGACACGCACCGTGATATTTCATAAGGGCCACAGCACTCAGGCCATCGTAGTGGACTGAGTACCATTTTTGTCTATGAGAGGATTAGAGTCAATTTGTGAGAATCTTTACTGGTGACACTTAACGTAAGTTGACAGTGCAAAGAAGCACTCTGCAAAGTATTTAGAGTAAATAATCATTGACCCAGGCTTCTACCAAGTGATGTCTTTCATTCAAGCACAAGGGAAAAATAAGCCATTTCAGACATGAAAATACTCACTGTTTATCTTCCTCAAGTCTCAGAATCACCGGAAGATACAACCAAACAAAGAAAATAATTAATCACAAAGTTTTTTTGTGGAAGACGACAAATTATGGGGAACAAAGGAAAAGAAACAATTAAAGTAGCTTCTGTTGAACATGGAGGTATAAAACAATGTAAGAATAAAAAGCACATCAAATGAATGCATAGCTTATGGAATTAAAGCAAACCCATGCAACTGCAGCCAGACCAAGAGGGAAATCGCAATCCACGTACTCCTTGCTTCATAGCTACACCCTGCTCTCAAGAGATTACCACTGCCCCGACACTGGGTGAGTTTTGCTATATAATCCTATGACTTAGATATTTATTCTAAATAATACAAATTGATGTCATACAACAACTTTTTGAAAATAAAATGAGAAAGTCATTTCTGTCTGGCTTCCTTTGGTTGGCATTTTATTTGCAAGATTAGTTCACGTTGTTGCATGTGGCTATAAGTGGTTCCATTGTATTGGTATATAGTATCCCACTGTTAATATTTGACCATTTATTAATGCTACAGTTGACTGGCATTTGTGTATTTTTCTCATTTTCAACTAGATAAATGATGCTCTGAAGAACAAGCTTGGTGCCTATCAGCACATATTCCTCTAGGTTTATAATTGTAGGTCACTGTGTTCACTGCATAAGGCTCAACAGTTTCCCCAGTGGCTATACAAATTTACATTCCCCCCCGCATCCTATGAAAGTTTCCTTGCCCTATAAACTTGCCCATATTGAGCATGCTCTAATCCAACTTTGACAATGAAGAGCATGAACTGACACTGAAGTTGTAGGTGATGTCATTCTGAGAGATGGAAATAAAGACAACAGAGGTCATCAAAGCATGTTTAGATTCTTTGTCTTGTTTAGGAGGGATATGCCTTCCCGATATAGCATATAAGAAAAAGGTTATATTTACGATAGGGTAATATCTTCAGAATAGCAATTAGAAGAAGAGAAATAGAGTATTTGACTTTATCACCATCAGATAATCATTTCAATTCAACAAAAGGGAGGAAATGAAGCAGAAATATAAGCTAGACAACACAGGCTGCAAAAATAATGCCAAATATAATATCAACACCTATGAAGGAAATAAAATTACTAATTAAAATACAGACTCATGTTGGGTAAACCAAAATCCTGCCATATATTGTTTGTAAGAGAATTTGTTGATACTACACAGGAAAGTACAATGGAGGAATAATAAGTCTGGTGAATTATAACTCCCTAAAAAAGTATACAATGTCAACATTGAAAAGCACTCAAACTAGAAATCACTAAATGGACTACTTTGCAAACCAACGTTTAGTCCTCCAAATTGTAGAATTCAAGAACATATATGTGCCTGGAAGCATTGCTTCATACACAGCAGGTAATGACAAACTCACAATCATAGACTAACACACCTCTCAGACATTTGCAAACCATTAGCAGAAGATTATCCTCATCTATAGCCACATGCAAAGAATGAAGCAGGATCCTCACTTAACAACCTATACAAAAATTAACTCAAAATAGATCAAAGACCTAAATGCAAAACCTAAAATTATAAAACTCTTAGAAGAAAACAGAGGGAAAATCTTCAGGACATTGGATCTGGCAGTGAACTCTTGTCTATGCCCAAAGGCATAAGCAACAAAAGACAAAATACACAAATTGGACTTTATGAAAATTTTTAAATTTTGTGCATAGAAAGACAACATCAAAAGAGTAAAACAATAACCCATAGAATGGGAGAAAATGTTTGCAAATTCTATATCTTATAAGGGACTGATATTTAGCATAGAGTGAACTCCTAAAATTCAACAAAAAACATTCTGATTCAAAACAGACAAAGAACTTGAATAGACACTTCTCCAAAAATATACAAATGGCCAATAATCACACAGAAGATGCCCCAAATCACTAATCACTAAGGAAATATAAGTCAAAACTACAGTCAGATACCACTCACATCCATTTAGATAGTAACCATCAAAAAATAAGAAAATAACTAGTGTTTGTGAGG